GCTAAAGATAGAAGGAAACTTGAAACTGTCCAGAATCGTGCCGCTAGATTAATTTTTGGCCTTGGGTCAAGAACTCATACTTCACCTTTACTTAAGGAGCTCCACTGGTTACCTCTCCACCAACGTGTTCTGTTTAAATTCTGTTTGTATGCTTTTAAAATACTCAATCATCTGGCACCTGAATATCTAAATGACACCCTCCAAATATATACACCAACTCGTAATCTTCGTTCAGCAACCGACACATGTAAACTTAACATTCCCAAATCTAGACTCTCAGTAGCTGAAAAACGCTTTGCAGTAGCTGCATCAAAGACATGGAACAGCATCCCTCTTTCCATAAGGAAAATTACCTGTCTTGCCACCTTCAAAAGATCCCTCAAAACTCACCTTTTCCCCCAATGATCTATGTGATATACTTCCTGTACTGTACTTTCTTGTCCTCTTTACATATATTTGTATTTGTAAGCGCTATGGTACTTATTGTTTTTAGCGCTCCTAAACATTCGATATTATTATTATTATTATTATTATAGATCGGTGCAAAAAGGCAATGGCTTATAATGGTCTTATCCTCATAGTAGACAATAGGTACAACATATTACCGTATTTGTTTGTTTGTTTATGAGCCCCCACCCTTCCTTAACTATATGGTAAGATTCGGAAGCTATCACTTAGTACAAGTAGAGTTTTTTGTTTTTATTCCTATACTATACGGATACTCACTTGACTCACAATCCAAGGGCTGAGGGTTCGAATCCCAGACCGACACTTACCACAATTTGACAACACATTAATCCGCATTTGCCACTCTCCACCCAGGTGTAGATGGGTGCCTGCCTGCCTGGCAATTTGCTGCGGTAATGATAATTGCAGGACCCTCTGAAAGAACAGCGTTGAAGCTGATGAGGGTTTCCTTGGCAAATAAAGTTATTTATGTTTTTATTATTATTATTTGTTATTGTTATCATCATCATTATCATTATTATAATTATCACCATTATTATCATTATTATTAATATTATTATTACTATCTTTACCATAACATCACTGGGTACCAGTTATACACTAATATCAGGTTACAAATACAATAATCAATAATGTGTGTAATCTACGTGTAATCTTATATAACAACAAAAAAAATTAAAAATTAACTTTAACTTCAACTTGTTTATGCATGCCCCCCCCCCCCCTGGAGATTAAAGGACGCTGCACTTTTGCCAAAGTTGGGTCTTAGATAATCCATGGACTACTGAGATCTCTCACTCCCGCAGGTAACGGGTTAATTTACAGGTGAATGACACAGGTAGCTGTCTCAAGTTGGAATGGCTTGATTAATTACATAAATGTCTAATCCCCTATTTCCGTTTTGGCTCAGGCCCAAACAGACCTGCAGTGACTGGTCTTCGTCCGAGTAGTAGGCCCAACCATTTTTCAGATTGCTCAGATGAAATTGTGCCGCACACACTTTCGTGTCAATTTCCTGGCTACGCTAACTGAATTCTGTACTTCATAGTCGCTACTCAGAGTAACGGGTCGGCAACGTATTCGGTACGTTCTTCTAAGATAACATAAAGCTATGAAGAAAAGGAAAGAAAAACGTTTGTCGATGTTCTGTTAATCATTTCAATATCATCTCTTTCTATATAATTTCTGTGCATCTCGATTTCATTCGCTCTGCCAATCTCCCTCCCCCTCCCTTTCACTCACTCTCTCTCTCTCTCTCTCTCTCTTTATTCTGTCGCTGTCTACTTCACGTCTTTTCCTCTCTCATCTTGACTTTTTCCTGGCCCCTCATTTTGTTCTGTTTACCTCTTTAAAAAAATTATATTCTTTCTCTCTCACACACACCCACGCACACTTTTCTTTAATCAAGATCTCCATCAGATTCCAGTTTACATTATATATGCCACTTGAATATGTTAGGTAACTATATAATGATAATGCACACAGCCGTACACACACACACACACACAAACCCACACGCTCACGCACGTGCGCGCACACACACACAAACCCACACGCTCACGAACGTACGCGCACACACACAAAAACCCACACGCACGTGCGCGCACACACTCTTGGTCTCTCTGTACGACTCGCTATCGGTTGTTCACTCAAACTTTGCATCATGACAAACTTACATAATTCAACAATAGCGTGTTTCTACACGCAATCACACTCTGTATACTCGATCTACCACTCCACTGACAAATCTAATACAGATTTCCCCCGAGGCAATTTAGTATTTATATAAAAATTGATCACAGGTTTAATTCTCTTCTTACAAAAGAAAGACAAATCTATCTACAGGCTCATGCGGGTCATATGCATGCAAGATATGAATTCTATATTATTCAATAAATAACTTAAACCAACTTACAAATATTCAATACATGATCTATGAAAAATTATCCTTTCTAATAGAAGGATTCAACTACAAAAGCAAGAGATTGACATATAAAATACAGCTGAATATTTGGTTAATGTAAAAGAAAAGGATATCACTGAGAGAAAAAAAATCTCCTTTTCTTAATATTTTTCATGATCATCTTCTGTTAAAGAGTCAGAAAAGCATAAATTTGCATCATTTAACGCAGGATTAATGGCCTTTTGTCTCTTAAATATATGTAGATTTCTTTACAAACATTGTCTATTTATTTTTCCTAAACACACCATTAAACAAACGTTTGAGGATAAGAAAACAATGCTCTTAAGACGAGACTAATGCTCAAGGGTAAAATCTAGTTGCCAAAATTTCAGGAAGAAGATGTCCTTTGAGAGAAAACTACCTGGAATTATAAACCACATGGTCAAATTGTCCTTTTCTTTCCTTGTAGTCACCTCACCTGAAGATAAACAGGTTTGTTGGACCTGTCTGGCTTGAAAAATTTTGTTGGCAACTCTTCGGCCAAAATGGTTGCACGGATCCAATGATTTGAAATGTCCTTACAAATCAGTTAGTAGTTGTGACCTTTGATATACAGCCAAGCTACCTGCAAAGTCCGGAAGCATTCCATAAATTGACAAATTTGGTTTTGTTGGTCAAAAAAGAAGGAGTAGTTATTTGAAAACATTTCATCAACAAATATTATGTTTCGGCCACTTGTGTGTGCAGATAAGGAATCTTGACCTTTTCTGACTAGTTTTATAGGCTATACAACCTGTACGGAATAATCTCATCGTTTGTTAACAGTCACAAGTTAAAAGTTAATGTTAAAGGGCAATCCAATCCTTTTTTTATCATTTCATTGGTATGAAAGCAGAAAAATATGAGTAACAGAATGACGAAAGTTTGAAATAAACTGGACAAATAATATGAAAGATATAAGTGTTTGAAATGTGAGATCTCTAAGTCTATGCCAATCACAAATTGGCAGTTTGGACACTGATTTTTAAAATATTCACAGACTGGAACAACTCTCCTGTGTGTCGTGTACAAACATATAATTTAAATGAATTAAAAATGTTCTGTCCACACTCGAAACTCTGCAAGATTACAAGTATATGAACAGATACAAAAAATTAAATGTAAACTTTTTGTAGTATAATACTTCCTTAACTATCTATCTCTCCTATTCAACTGCGAGAGTGCAACTTTACCTGCAGGTATTGTAGGTTTAAAAATACAAATGTTTCATCCATTGAAATATAGCACCATGTTAGAGAGATGAAACCATGTATGTAAGTTTATCAAAAGAGAACGAAGATATAAAAAGGTATTTACTGAAAACGCAAAAGGATGGGAAAGAAATATATGAGTGGCTAAAGTCTAGCTAGCCTTATCTATATATTTCTATACTACCTCATATCATGCACACATTGTCAAAATTATTACCATTGATAAAAAATACAGTCAATCTCACACTTCCCACTCCTGAAATGCAGCTATTTCCTTTTCTTTGATGCGGACTTACAGACTTTCCTAAATATAGATACAGTCTGCAAAGAGCCTACCATACAATAAGTATATACAGAATTGATATGTAACATAACGAGTTTGAGTTGCATACAATTACATATTAAATATATGTAGATACAGTGAAACCTGTGTAGAAAGACCACCCATGAGGTCACGACAAGTTATCATTATAGACAGGTTGTCTTTATTGTTAGGTTTCCTTTGACAGATTTTTCAAGGGAAACAAAAAATGTGGTCTTTCTATACAGGTGGTCACTGCTACAGAGCCCTGTTTCATAAAACATATCATAAATAACAACTGTCAAATGGCTATTGTGAATATGCCAAGAGCCAATCATATGCATGACACTTACTGTAATTAACGGTGTATTAACCACACTTTTTTGCCGCCAAAAAAAAATTCAAAGTCAGGGGTGCGTCTTATACAATTATTTTTTTTTTTTTTTTTTTTTTTTTAAGTTTTGATTTATGCCCCTCCACCTGGCGCCATGCCTGGCAATGTCTCCCAGCTCAGTAATCGGTGTGTTGACTCACCACTCGGAAACTAGAACAACACTCAAATTAGTCTGTCATCTTGGTTTGAAAGTAATCTTTCTGATAGATCTCAATATGTAGTTTATAATAATAATTCCTCCAATTTTTCTTCTATTACATGGCGTACCACAAGGTTCTATCCTAGGTCCTCTACTGTTTTTTTAATTTACATTAATGATCTTACACATTTAGCTGCACCTCGCTGTTAAATGAAAGGCCTTCCCGCGTGGGTTTTTTAACACGAACCTGGCTTGCTGCCGACAGAGCGAAAAAGAGGGGTGCGGTTAATACACGAGGGCGGTTTATACACCGTTAATTATGGTATTGTAACTTGTTACCGAGAATGAGTTTTGTGAAACAGAGCCCTAATTTGACTGTAACAAGATACAATCTAACATCAAGAATAGAATAATCTCCATGTATTATATTTATGTAATATTGAACATAATATAACTAAGATTATGAAGAAAACAAATTGAAATGGTGACAAAATCAGATCATAAATAAAAAGGAGGGATATAGGGGTTGGTGGTAGAAAACTAGGGAGGGGCAAAGGGATAAAAACAAAGAAAACAGGAGCTTTCCATCAACTCAACAATCTCCCATGCATTCCAAATTGCATGCCCTCTTTATCGTGATGAATTCCAATATTATGTAAAATCGATGTATCTCAAACAGACTTGCATTCCATTTGTATCTGCTGATTTGCAGATCTGCAAAAATGCTGTTAAACCATACTGTTAAATGTTGCCAATTTGTTTCGCTGATCTGCGAACATGGCACAAAAAGAGTGGGGACTAATCACAGAATTAAAAAGCAGTTTGTTTAACTGAGAGAGAACATAAATCACCTCCACAAACTATTCGAGCAATTTAAATAATTAAGGATGAATGAGCATAACAGGATGTAGTTTGGATCAAGGTCTTCATGGCAATTTCACTCCAAGCTCACTTTTATGTGTGTACATGAACATACAAGCATACAAGTGCATCATTTTGTATACATAGGAGTTGTTTTTGCCTCTTATTTTTAGTATGATTTTGGTGTCTAAACTAGCAATATATCTGTACACATGCAATATTTTGAGCTGATATTATATATTTATATCATACAGGCATGAAATATGAAACATATTTATCAGAGCACAATTTGCCCATAAAGTATGAATAAACTTTTAAAATCTCTTTTTATGAAATTATGCGACGATATATTCTTGACAGATAAAGTTTATATCTTCTTAGAACTTTATGGATCAATCTGAAGAAACGTAGAGATTGATCTATAAGGTTCTGAGAAGATAAAAACCTTTTCTAGAGAGAGTTATTATTATTGTCACAATCATTTTGTGATAAGAGGTGAGAAAAATTTATCCTGACTTTATGGCGATTGGTCCCCAATTAATTGAAAAATAAATCAAATTCAATGATTTGCTTATTGCTCTGAATTTTGATACATAACTAATTGAGATGTTGGAAGTGCGATCTATGTGACGTTCTTGTACTTGGTGAAAATGTTGTAGAGTACTCGCAGAGTTGATTTCAAGTCTAAATTCACCACATCTATAATAACGAAAAGAGAGATGGAAATATACAATTAGATCAAGATTCCTCTTTTCATATGCAGTGTATTTGTGCTTCTGGGCCCCATGTTATAAAGAGTTGATATCAATCACGACTTATTCACGATTAGTATCAATTGCAACTATGTACATAAGATACAGGAGACTGCAAACTCTTGATTGGTTGGAGGACTTGCGATTGATTTGGAATCAATCGCAACTCTTTATAAGACTGGGCCCAGATCTACAGCATCATAGCAGCATGTGCTAAGAGCCAAAAAGGTGAATGAAATAAAGGGTCATTAAAAAATAACTTTCCACCACGTGCGGTGGGATTAAAAAGACACGTCTGCATTGCTTATTCTGTACAAATACATTGATTTACGGTTATGTTCTTTTGTTTCCCAGTTAAATATAAATCTAGGTTAAAAATGGGAAACTCATCTCTTCCCAGTAAAAATCTGCCCCTCCCTATATTTTGCTTTCAGTATGTGGCCCTTTTTTTGTAGGGAAAACCCAGACATATTTCCATATATGGTAATGGAGGATGTTTAGAATGACACCTGACTTAGTATGAAAAAGAAATTGGTTTGTCTTCTGCAGGAAGTAGGGAATTCATATCATCTTGTTGGTAACAATTGAAGGGGTAAAAATGAGGATGATGCCCTTATTATACAGAATTCTAACAGTAAATACCTTTTACAAGTTATATTTCACTATCTTTATCTTGATTTAAAATGAGTATTAAAATGTTCTACAATGTACAATCAATATTCAATGTTTTATCATCAGAAACGTCATAGAATTTTTTTAATAGACCAGTTCAAATTCGTATCCAAAGTATGGAATAATCTTTTCCAGAAAGTATACAATGTAGTAACCCACTACTCTACTCACCTGTTATTATAAAATGTTGTATTTCAAGAGTCAGAATGGAGGCTTTCATAAATGTAAATTAATTGTTGCTATTTCAGACAAACCTCTGACAATCTTAATGTTTGTCACTAGTAATATCTGCATTACAAACATACTTTCAATTTGGATACAATTGTGAACTGATCTATCATAAACAAATAGTTTCTATGCTATCATGCTGTTAAATACAAATGTACTTAGCCAGTACTGAAGAATGTCAATTTCACACAAAAGAATGAAAACTTACTTTCAAGCAATCTATCAATTAACACTTTAACGACTTATTCATCAAAAATTAATGTCTGAAACAATGATCATTGCACAGTGATATAAACATGCCTTTCAATAATTTGTACCACACAAAATTGTATTTCACAATGATGCATGTTAATTCATATCACCCCAACTTCATGCATATCGTTTTTCTATTTGGATTAATAATTGAATATGAACTGGTGTATACTGTTTGATTCACTCAAAACAGTTGAAATAACAATCCACTGCTAAAGTGATGCAAATTAGAAATACGTCAAGAATTAGTTCAAGTCTGACTTGTTAAGAAACATCCATGCTTACGTGTACATCTTATATACATGTATGTGTGGTAGATCTGTACTGTTTTATGTCTGACAACTGAGGGGGTCGTGCAATGAAGTGCAATTTCTGAAGTGTGTCAGGCGTATCTGAGGGTTTTGTTTACTACGATACCTTGGAATGATTTATAAACGAAAGTACATACAGAGTTCTCATTATTGACATTGAACGTAGACATTAATTTCCACCATTTTGGCAACAATCCTTTTCCTTAAACTTTCAAGGATGTATCATTTATTTCAACAGTAAACATACAGCCAAGTCAATTAGTAGCTTAATAAATATACAACACAACATGATTATTGCAATCTCCAAGGCATTCATTACACACATTCTTTTACTTCATCTAAAAGATAATGCTTTGAGAATTTTTTTGGGGAAAAATGGGAAATATACATATCATAGACAATGGCGTACACTTTTAAATCTTAGTATTAAAAGTAGAGAATTACAGCTGGAATAAAAGTAAGAGGTAATAACATGTAAAAAGCTAATAAGAGACAGTGAGAAGAAAGAAGAATATTATGTAGACATTACTGGAATGTATGCATCTATAGCTGATAAGGAATATTGCGAGAAAAGAGACAGAAAATGGGTTAAATGGAAAGAATGATATTGCAGGGGTGATAGTGAGCACTAAAAAAAAAATAGGTTTTTTGTTTTCCCCTCAACCACGCCCCCCTTGAGTAAAAAAAAAACAGAGGATTCGCGGGGAAAAAATGGCATTTAACATTCCCCCCTTTCGAGTAAGAAAATTGGGACAAAATAGGGCAAGATTGGGAAGGATAGAGAAAATAAGAGGGAAATCGGGAAAATCAGGATAAAATAGAGAAGAAAAAAAAATTGGTAAAAAAAAATATTTAAATTTTTTTTTTTTTAAATCTGGATTTTTTTTTTTTTTTTTTTTTTTTAAATCAGGAAAAAACAAAAAATCAGGAAAAAACAAAAAATCGGGAAAAAATCGGGAAAAAAATCGGTAAACCGATATAAATAGGGTTTTTATCAGGCCTGATATTGGAGGATGGCAATAAAAGAAGGCCAGTATGATTGAATACTGAAATATGCTGATCTGATGGTGCTGGTGAAGAACAACAGTTATTGGATACCATTTGTGTTAGTAGTTATAGCACAGATAAAGAAAAGTCTGATGTGGAATAAAGAGAGAGAGAAAGGAAGGAAGAAAAAGAAAAAGAGAAAGAAAAGAATAAGGTAGCCTGAGGAAACAGAAAAAAAGGATAGACAGACAGAAAGAAAGAAGGAAGCATGAGGAAGACAGAATAAGAAGAGGTAGGTTAAGAAAGAGAGAAGGGAAGAGAGTAAATGAAGAAAGACAGAAGGTAGAATAAGCAAGACGGATTGCGAGGAAGAAGTTTAAGAAAGAAAGAAAGAAAGGAAGAGAGTAAATAGGAAAGAAAGAAGGAAGAATAAGGAAGACAGATTGAGAGGAAGAACTTTTAAAAAAGAAAGAAAGAAAGAGTAAATGAGAGGAAGAAGTTTAAGAAAGATAGAAAGAAAGAGGGTAGAATAAGGAAGACAAAACAAAAGAAAGTAGTTTAAAAAGAAAGAACGGAAGAGTGTAAATGAGGAAAGAAAGAAGGAAGAATAAGGAAGACAGATTGAGAGGAAGAAGTTTTAAAAAAGAAAGAAAGAAAGAGTAAATGAGAGGAAGAAGTTTAAGAAAGAAAGAAAGAAAGAGGGTAGAATAAGGAAGACAAAACAAAAGAAAGCAGTTTAAAAAAAAGAACGGAAGAGTGTAAATGAAGAAAGAAAGAAGGAAGAATAAGGAAGACAGATTGAGAGGAAGAAGTTTTAAAAAAGAAAGAAAGAAAGAGTAAATGAGAGGAAGAAGTTTGAGAAAGAAAAAAAGAAAGAAGGTAGAATAAGGAAAACAAAACAAAAGAAAGTAGTTTAAAAAGAAAGAACGGAAGAGTGTAAATGAGGAAAGAAAGAAGGAAGAATAAGGAAGACAGATTGAGAGGAAGAAGTTTTAAAAAAGAAAGAAAGAAAGAGTAAATGAGAGGAAGAAGTTTAAGAAAGAAAGAAGAAGAAGGTGGGTTAATAAGACAGAATAATCAGACTGTGTGAGAACACTGAAAAATGCAGATCATCTCCTTCTAGCATCAACAACAAAATTTACCATTAGTTTCAATTAATTAGTACAATTACACACGTATTGAAGCAAATGTATCACATCTAGGAAGCAGGCATTTAAGAATAGATTTGGAATACCCAAAGAAGAAGTAAGAGGGAGAGTTTCTTTAGATGAAAAGATCATTTTGCTTGTATCTCAGAAAGAGATTGTAGATGAGGCGAAGCATGGATTTAAGATGGAGCTGAGCAACATCTGGAAGAAAAGAAGATATTTCAGCAACAGAGTAATGAAAGTACAGTTAAACCTGTCTATAGCGACCTCCCAAGGGAAACAGAAAAATTGGTCTTTGTAGACAGGTTCCTTTAGTACATGTTTTAACGAGAAACCATTTTCAAGGGAAACAAAAAATGTGATCTTTGTAGACAGGTGGTCACTAAAGCAGGTTTGACTGTACATTAATATTGAAGATGGTGGAGTGCAAATAAAGATAAAAGAAGATATTTTAGCAACAGAGTTTTTAAATTAAAGTACCTTACTATTGGAGATGGTGGAGTACTTATAAAGATGAAAAGAAGATATTTCAGCAACATAGTAATTAAAGTACATTAATATCAGAGAGAGAATTTGGGGGTTCTAATAAAGATGACAAAATAACTTTTTGAGCTTTCTAAATCATTTGGAAGAAAAGAAGATATTTCAGCCACAGAGTAATGAAATTACATTAATATTGTAGATGATGGCGTGCTTATAAATATGAAAAGAAGATATTTTAGCAACAGAGTAAATGAAAGTACATTAATATCAGAGAGAGAAGGTGGTGTTCTGATAAAGATGAAAACATAAATTTAAGAGCTTTCTAATTATTTGGAAAAAAAGAAGAAATATCAGCAGGAGAGTATTACATGAAAGTACATTAATATCACAGAGAGAAGTTGGGGTTCTAATAAAGATGAAATAATAACTTTGTGAGATTTCTAATCATTTGGAAGAAAAGAAGATATTTCAGCAACAGAGTATTAAATGAAAGTACATGTACATTAATTTCAGAGAGAGAAGGTGGAGTTCTAATAAAGATGAAAAAATAATTAAGTGACCTTTCTAATTATTTGGGGAAAAAAGATATTTCAGCAACGATGGAGTGCTAATAGAGATGAAAAAATAATTAACTGAGCTTTCTAATTATTTGAAAGATTATTATCATGGTGGAAATGTCCACTGAAATTGACCATTCTTTTAATGCTCTCATGTTATATAATACGACAAGAAATATAGCTAAGTAGTTTGGACCAACTTTCATGCCACTAGTGTGTTTTCAGCGAGACTGCATCTGTTTCTCTTTATTGTGATCATTCAAATACCTTGCTGTATAAAACAATTATACATCACCAATCTTCCCTATAGGTTCTGACTTCAACGCTAGAAAATGGGTTATAGAATGTAGGCAGTCTAATTTGTCAAATGACACCATGTGACCGTACATCATCCTTTCCTACCACGCCTACCGTCAAAAAAAAAATCCCCATCAAAAGATGATAACCCACATCATATGTGCATCTCTGACGTGTCCAAATTATGGCGTGATGAAATAAACGTAGGTTCAAATGGCAAGAACAATGATGCACACTGCAACGCGCATTACAATATTTGGCTGAGCTAATGTACTGTGATGTCATTCAAAGCAAATGGCGGCTCAAATGACTGTGCGATTCTTAGAATTTTGATCAGGTTTTTTGCTTATTTCTCGACATTATGACACATCATAAACCCATTTCATCAAACAAATAATTCTTCTTTTGAGGCTCGTGCATTAGTGACATGCACTGAGCCGGATAATAATCTCCACACCTATTGTTCATTATCCAAATGTGACTCAACTTGCGCGCAGAGCATATTCACGATTGCACTCACAAACATTAATTTGTTTGTATAATAATATGCACAGAGGGGCAGCGGTGGAGCCCCCTGTTTACATGGCTGCCACCCTAGAGTACCCGACTGCTAAAATCATGGAACTCCCTGGCAACGCTTCCAGCGACAACAAGAAAAACTCAAATCCTAACAATGACATAAAGCCAAGAGCAATAGTCGCCAGACCAAACGTCAGAGGACCATCAAGATTACATAACACACTCACCCTCTGCTCTAGCCTTGGCCTTGGGTAGTCCAGCGTCGTCCATTAGATCCAGGGCCAGGTTAACATTGTGGACCTATCATTTGAGGGAAAAATGTACATGAAATGTTGGTCTCAAATATATAATTGTTATAACTGAAATATTTTCAATTACAAGGGAGAGTTTAAATAAATATGCAACATCTTATCTTATCACTCAGCTAATCTTGTGAATTATTCTGGACACTAGGCAATTCATGGGACATGGTTTTCATTTGGATTCTCTAAATCTATTGTTTTCATCCTTTGTTTTGTTTTGATTTGATTTGTTTATTTGCATATGTTTATGTTATCTTTTGTTACTGACTTTTGTTTGTATTATAATTTATATATTTTCACTTAGGCCACCCAGACTTTCTGAAAAACAGCTGTTTAGGTTGAGAGATTTACTGTGTTTGAATAGTTAAATGAAATGAAATGAAATCCTCATATTTTCATTGCTAATTAAAAATACATTACAATCCACCTCTAGTTGGCTCCCAAGTAGGAGAGCTTATTCATCCTTTCAATGAATAGAGCACAATAAGTCTGCAGGCTAGAGATTCCCCTCTCTTACTATCTATCTATTTTTAACCCTTTCGCGACAATCATTCCACATTTTGTGGTTTGGCTCAAAAACTCTTGATTCAGAGCCCTACAACACATGCCGGATGCATGAGGGGAGAGAGCAAAAGGTTCTGCACATACTGCATCCATCTTTGTAAAATTAAATTACTTGTGTTTGATGCCAGTAATACTAAAAATGAAAATTAATCTCTAAAATCCTTAAATTGGCAGCACATTGAGAATTTAAAAGCTTTGGTTTTTTTTTTTTTACTAAACTTGGCAATTTTCTCACATTCTCACCTATGTATATTGTTTTCAGAGACATTACATTTAATCTTAACAATGTAGCATTGAAAGAAAAATAATTATTGTTGCCAATTGAAAGATCGAAGAGTAATCAGTTTAGCAATACAAACAAATCCTATCCTGAAAGGGTTATAATTCAACAGGAGGTGATCACAAGGGACAGTCTACTTCCTCTGCTAAACCGATATCCATGGAGAATACAAGAAACTCAATGGCTCAAATTCACAAAGGAGGTTTACATTAAACCCATGGTTTAAACCCTCATTTAAATAACCCATAATTCAAAATTAGCGTAAAATAAGTGCAACATGGTCAAGAGGTCCAATATTAGACGCGCGCAAGGCAAGGTACGCTTATTTTGCGCTTATTTTTAAACCATGGGTTAAATTAAAACCTCCTTTGTGAATTTGGGCCATTGAGTCTGGAATACGGTGCAACACTTACCTTCTCTTCAAAAGTCGTAGGGGTCATGTGGTAGCAGTGTAGAGGTACATAGTAGCCTTCCAGAAGACCCATCAGCAAGATAAAGAACACACCATCATGGAACTAGGAGTATAATACACAAAGTAAGAAAATGAGGATGTACATTTATTATCTCTATATACAAGATCAATCATCAAGAAAATAAGGTATCTTGGGATAACTGTTACAATGTATAGGGGTTGTAACAAACCCATTAAATAGGAGACACCATCATTGAGGATGATACACATATCAAGAAATTTAAGTATCTTCTGGTAATGGTGTGGTATAGTATCTATACAGGATAACTATTCACAAGATGAACAACTTCAACTCACCTGGCTATCCAAGTCCATGACTTCCAGATTGAGTTTGTTGAGATGTTTGTTGGCAAAGGCAATCAGTGACTGTGGGAAAAAAAAAAATACATATGATAACAAAATCTTCTTTACAAAAAAATCCAATAGGCCATTTTGTAATCAAATTTAATACATACATGTAAGTCTTTGTGAAGTGCCTTAAAGGCCCACTGCACTACTGGTAGCTACTTGCACCCTCTATATAACAAACAATGCCTAATCGGTGACCATTGGTCCCCCATGATCCTCTTTTTCTTATGTTAACTGAGAGCTGAGTTAATGAGATAACCACCTGTCCAGTGACCTTGCAGAGCGGTCTAATCCCTCCTGTAAACTACGGCAGATAAGCTTTAATACAAATTATTTCATTCGCCTGTTACAAATAGTTGTATTTCAAAAGTCAGAATGCAAGGTGCATAAATACGTCCCTATTTTCTCGAAGTGACAGTAGTGAGGAAAATCGTCACACAAATTGTATGCGATTTTCCTCATTACTGTCACTTCGTGAAAATACTGTAGGGACAAATTATGTGCCGTTAGGTAGGGCAAGCCATAATGTCCTACCTAACAACAACTAATGTATGCAATTTGGATTCTGACTACTAAGATACAATTGTTCGTAATGGGCGGGTGAAATAATTTGTACGAGGTGCTTTACAAAGGCATATGCATTGATTTGGTTACGTTACCAAAATGGCCTATTGCAGTCAGGTTACATGATGTGAAGTGCACTTTTATCCATTGTAAATCTAAACTATGTGTATAATTAATCATAAATGAGTTCACATCTACTACTGATCAGAGCCCTGTTTCATAAAACTTTAAATCAAGAACCAGTTACAATAACTGTTATAAGCTACTGAAATCCTTGCATTTGACTGGCTGTGAGCAAATTTGTAATGGGATTCTAGCATTTGTAATTGATAAAATGGCTTTGTGAAACAGGCCCCGGTGCCTTTCTTTCTTATGTATCATTCATTTATTTTCAACTCGCTAATATGCACCAGAAATGGATTCATATTTCTATGGGAGGGAATTATATCTAAGATGACTGAATAATGAGGAGGAAGTTGACACAACTACTTCTCTTAACTACATGCAGCTATGATCAAAGTGATGCCCTGTCCTCTATTGGTATGCCCTCTGCTGAGCTCTGAATAATTCCCTCCAATGTGCAATCTCTATGGGAGGGAATTATACGAGGCTCCACAAGATAGATGACTGACCAATGAGGAGCAACTTCCGTTGGCACAACTACCTCTCTAAACTACATGTAGCTATGATCAAAGTGATGCACTGCCCTCTATTGGTATCACATAGCACAAGGTCATTTCTTCTCACTTACCTTCTTGACTACATTGAGCTTGTCGGGTGCATGATCAAACAGGGTGTCAAAGGCATCACGTTCTGTTAATATGAAAGAGTTCAAATGATAAATCTTTAATTAACATATGAAATCCCATCTTCCATTAGATTTAAGAGTCCTAATTTAAAAGTTAAAAGAGTAACTGCGCTATATAGAAATTAAATATTATTATTATTATTATTTTAATGTTGCCCATTCATTTTTTTACAGGGTGGAGGGGTTGCATGTTTTGTGTCTACATATGATCGAAAAGCGTGAAGAAAGTTGGTTGGTTAGTTTCTTTTTTTAACTCGACTGCTAAGATATCATGATGTGTATGCTTTTAAGTAAGTAACCAGAGGACAGACGGCTTTAAGTTCTCTGCAAGGGACTTGGTAATGAAGATTAATGCCTTACCAAAGAGCGCTAGCGCATCGACTAGGTTTCAAACCTGTGATCTTCCCACTGCTCTACCACTGAGCGATCGCGCCTCCTAATTAAATCCCTACCGGTGTTGGCGAGTAGAGTGGGGGTACCAATCTGACTAGCCAGATTGAATTCTAGAAAGCTGTAGAGCAGTCAAGGGAGGGGAAGGCTGCGCAACAATTTTTTGAGATGAATTGATTAAAAAAGAGACAACTTTATACATGTAACTCTTGAAAGTCCATATTCAACTTTATAAAGTTCATAAATGACAAATGCTAAAAAAGAAAGGAAAAAAATAGACTTAGGTGCACCAAAGAGGAGGGGAAAAACCTCACAAAGTTCAATTAAACTCTCACAAGTAAAAAGCTTTCTTCAGTAATTGACATAATATCAATAAACTCACCAAATCGTCCTCCGATGGCCCTTTATGATTTGAAACAGAGAGAGAGGGGGAGGGAGGGAGAGAGAGAGAGAGAGAGAGATTGAGAGAGAGGAGGGAGAGAGAGGGAGAGAAAGAGGAGAGGGAGAGAGTGAGAGAGAGGGAGAGAGAGATTGAGAGAGAGGAGGGAGAGAGAGAGAGAGAAAGAGGAGAGGGAGAGAGTGAGAGAGAGGGAGAGAGAGAGGAGAGAGAGAGGGAGAGAGAGAGGGAGAGAGAGAGGGAGAGAGAGGGGGGGGGGGGGGAGGGGGACAAAGCACAGAAGTGAAAAGGGATAAGTAAAATGGGAAGAAAGAAAGACAACAAAAGTTAATTCACATCCATATTCATATTGATACAGACAAAAGACATAATAATAATAATAATCGGTTCTTGTATAGCGCATAACACATCATGATATAAAGTCTCTATGGCTTCCAAAGAGATTTGGAAATTATGCACCAAACTTAAACCCTGCATGGCCTCTTTTCAACCTCTTTATCATCAAACATGGTTTATATTTGAAAGCAAGAGAGATTTTAGTGAAGATATTCAGTAGATCATCAAGCAACGCAATACATGTTGAATACATCCCGACCTAATAATAATAATAATAATAATTAGTAGTAGTTCTACTTCGCACTTTTCAATAAAATATCAATCAAGGTGCTACAACGTAATATAATAATAATACTTAAGTGTTTTCTTAACCAAAGAACTAGCTGATATCAACTGAATCTCCCTTACAATCAACTATGACACCATCCAAACAATTACATTATATAAAGCAAAACTGTCTGAAAGGGACGAAATTGTTTTTTTCAAAGTAAACTAAGTGGAACACTAAAAATTATTACTCACCATTTACTCAAACAAATATACTCTTTCACAGAGATGTATATATTTTCAAAAATGAAAAACCCATTTGCACGATGATATCAATAAATTTGCTATTGTTCATATAACTATGTTACATTCATGGGACTATGTATTTTTTCTAACTTTTCTACATTCTATACTATGAAGGCTACTTGACAAAGAAAGTGAAACAGAAATATCATTATTTAAAGATCTTGCACTTTAAGAATCTATAATGGAACAGATATACCGTTAAATGGAATCAAATAGGTGCTCCTTCACCATTTTGAATCATTTTGATCAGAGGTGTTGTGGTCTACTGGATAAGTCACCGGACTGTAGATCACAAGGTACAGGGTTCAAATCCCAGCCCGGCACTAACGTCCCTCCGCAAGACGTTAATCTACATTTGTCACTCTCATCAAAAGAATTCCTTTCTACCAGGCACCCATTTACTTCACCTGGGTGGAGAGTGGCAAACATAGATTAATGTCTCGCTAAGAGACATTAGTGCCACGCCAGGACTTGAACCGTGAACCATGCGATCCACAGTCCAGTGACATATCCACCAGACCATGACACCTCTACATGTATTGTCAACGGCTGTTACTATAACAGCCTTATTACATGCAGCAGATGAAGGAACCGGTAATCAAATGTTTGAAGAACAAAATAATATATAAAATGATAATAATCTGCATACATACATGTAGAAGCCATTTCAGTATAATACCCATGACCAAAATCATATTCAAATGAATAAAGTTTGTTATCTATATTCTCTTATTCACATGAATTGCATGTTACATGTATATGAACATCTATGCTACATGAAATATATTGCTTTGATACTAATATGATGTATTTCACTGATTATCTCTTATAAATTGAGGCTGCATAATTGATGCTAGTTCTTTCTACAAAAGAAAGTCTTTATAATAAATTTCTATGAAATCTCTTGAAATAAAAATGTAAAACTCTAAAGCAAAGAAAACAAATAAAAAATACACCATGCAAATCAAAATTTAAATAAAATCATAAAATAACATATATACAGTATGTAAAATAATATTTCTCTACCAAATGTTTCACTTTTCTACAATGACTGCGAAAACCTTTCATTTGCGTAGATATAATGACACATTTTCCATGCATACTTGAAGTCTTGTAAACATAGTAGTTACAAGTATGACATTTTGGATAAAAAGCGGATATACCACCTTCTTCCAGCAATCTTTAAAAACTTTTGTATAGTTAAAGATAAAGACCAGTTACGGTCATGCGATTGCATTGTGAAAGAAACGTTGTGGAATCGATCAGAAAAGGTTGATCTTCTAGCATATAAGTATTGGTGTGTACTGCAAGGTTCTGGAATCATCAAAATGATAAGAAATTTGGCCCAGTCTTCGTAAAGTTACAAGCACTATACACAGAAAGATGTATATGGGACTATACGCACACGTGCGCGACACGTGCGTTTATCTCTCACAGTCCAATAGATAAACTAATTTACCAAAAATATCAATTTGTAGGCGGTTTCCCGGCAAAATTTATCATCATGTATTAGTCAAAACATATTCTTTCACATGATTGATAATAAGAGCTTCCATTTCATTTTTTGAAATTGGGGCGTTTCCAATACTGGTCTTTACCTTCAATAGCCAGAAGGGCATTAAAGATGCATAGTTGTTGGTTTCCATGGAGAATTTGACACCAAGAGTGGACTTCATGACCGACATGTCTCGTGTAATGCACCAGCCTATCACAGTATGGAAGCCTCATCATTATATCAAATTTCCCTCACCCCGAGATGAAGGCAAAGTTGGGGTATTTTCTGGTGGGACCATGGGTTCGCTGCTTCATAGACCTTTGCACACACAGACACATTAACTGGTAATTCATCCAAATCTGGTGTCAGCGAATTATGCGGCATTAACTCATATGCTTTGACAAAGAGTTAACACCCTTTCTGGTTCTCAATCATAAAGATTCATAAGCTATTCTTAAAAATAAATAAAGTTGTCATGCGCTTACATGTAGTTGTACGATTTAAACTGTAATATATTTTCATGCATTTCAAAGATGAACCAACTGATATCATTATTCTCTCAAGTTGATGTCACTCATTGGTATACGAGTAAGATGATACTCCCTTCCATGATTAACATGTCATACACAAATAAAATATTTAAACACATTTCATTAAACTCTAACTTAATTCTGCTTAACTATACAGTGTGAATCAAAAAAAAGTTTACACCTAGAAAATTGCTAATTATTTTAAAACTCATTTATGAACAGTTAATTATTATACATCTTATGAAAAAGTGTTTTATCCCAAATCATTTGGTATCATTGTTGTGTGGTATGTGTTCACGCTTGGATGAACAGGAGGCATTGTTTGCGAGAGTGCAAAAATCGACTTGCGCCAAAGTTGCTTATGTGATGTTTAAATAAAACAATTGGGATTTGGGTATCAATTCGGTCTTTGCAGATCCAAATAACATCCCTAACAAAATTAATCATGCCAAACATATCAAAATCAATGAACATTTGTGCGTGCGTGTGTGTGACTTTCCTTCTACAAAAAGCATATGCAATGCATTTCATTTGATACATTCAATTCATTCTCTCACTCCGCTAAACCCAACCGTAGGCATCACTTTGACGCAAGTTGATTTTTGCACTCTCGCAAACAATGCCTCCTGTTCATCCAAGCGTGAACACATACCACACAAAAATGATACCAAATGATTTGGGATAAAACACCCTTTCATAAGATGTATAATAATTTACTGTTCAAAGATGATCTTTAAAATAATTAGCAATTTTCTAGGTGTAAACTTTTCTTTGACTCACACAGTATTAGGAATGAACAACATAATTTCACAAAAATCATAGTATTTCTTTTTTCATCTGAAAGTAATAAAACGATTCCCCAAAGAAAATATCCAAATCAAAGTAAAAAATAAATCAATGTTTATACAGGGTTACATAAAAGAAAGAATGAGCGACAAATTTGCCAAAATTCACTATTTTATTTCACTAATTCACTATTTCATTCACTGTTACTACAAGATTGTTTTCATTTGTTGTCTAAGGCAGATGGGCAGGCAAATAATAAACATCTTGTTTCTAAAACTTTACAATTTTCTAAACTATTACCAGGGCGGCTTGCATGTTTTACTACTGCTGGTAAAATCAATTATATTTTGGAGATCATTACTCAGTATTTTTTTAAATTCAGGTTAAAAAATGAGGGGCACCATGCATCCTATATTTAGTTCTATCATTCTCTCAAAATAAAAAGGCCTAACTGAGGCCTCAAAATTGTTTATAAATGAGTATCGTTTGAAATGCGTGTCAGAACTTTTCCAAAAATCAATTAAAAACTTTCATATTTGAGTAAATGAATGAATGAATTTGACTACTATCCAATGTATGAACCATGGAATCAGTTGTCCTTTATTGCAAACAATGGAGCCATATTCACCAATTTTAACATTTTTTAAAGACATGCAGGAACCCTAAATATTGACATGATCCTTTTGTTAGTTAACATGAGCTGCTTGGTTTATGATTTGCATATGATAAGATGACGATGATGATATAGATGGTAGCCATTTTTTTTTCTGGTATACCTGCGCTGTTCTACATGAAACCACGCCACAGACCTGTACACAAGCAAATAATTTATCTTTTCATGTTAGAAAATGACACAAGAGCAGTTTATGAAGAGAGTTTTTCCCTCAAACCTGTATTTAAAGACCACCTTTAGAGAAAGACCACTTGCTTTTGACCTGTATATGAGCCAATTATTCATCTACACATGTAAGAAGACACAGGTAGATTACCATGAGGGGGGCGGTTTATGAAAAAGATTTTTCTTCAGGGGCTGGTTTCATAAAAACTGTTATCAAGAACAAATTCCAAAATTCTATGACAACTTTGCTCTCAGCCAATCAGATGCCACGATTCCAGTAGCTTATAACAGCTATTGGAACTTGCTATTGATAACAAGTTTTATGAAAAAGGGCCCTATGACAAGAACATTCTCCTTCAGGGGCCGGTTTCATGAAAATTGTTATCAAGAACAAATTCCAAAATTCTATGACGACTTTGCTCTCAGCCAATCAGATGCCACGATTTCAGTAGCTTATAACAGTTATTGGAACTTTGTTATTGATAATAGTTTTGTGAAACAGGGCACTGGTCCATGGTAAGAGCGGCCACTCGCTATAACAACATGCAGTAATTCTAAAAAGTTCTACGGAAGAATCCCCAAACTAATCTGATATGGACAATACAATGAATCTACGCAATGGTGCAGAAATATATACATTTTTTGAAATCTAAATAACATTGGATTCTGAATGCAATGGGAAACATCTTTGTAACAGGTCGCTACAGAATATAATTTTGATTTGGATAAAAACTGATAAGGCACGAATGGAGCAATAGAGAAAAACATGATTCTAAATGCATATAGGATTCTCAATGTAATGGAAAATATTTTCATAACAGTATGCTATAGACATGTCCGGCACGTTCTATTTTGGACAAAAACTGATGGGGCATGGATGCGGCAATAAATGTTTAAAAAACGCAACCCGTCATTCCTACTTCATGCGGATGAATTGTCGGGGTAATTGAATACATTTTATTCAGAACTAACTTTGTAGACATGATTCTAAATACAAATACGATTCTCAGTGCGATGGATATATTTTCATAACCGTATGCTAAAGACATGTCTGGCACATTCTAATTTGGACAAAAACAGATGAGGCATGGATGCGGCAATAAATGTTTAAAAAACGCAACCCCTCATTCCTACTCCATGCGTATGAATGGGTGGGGTATTTGAACATTTTATTCTGCACTAACTTTGTAGACATGACCTGCCGTCATGCCATGTATGGACTTTGAATGGAATTTGCTTTCCGAGAAGAATGAGAACACATGTCAGTGACAGACAGACTTAGTATGAAGTATGAATATAGATAGACACAGAGAGATAGGGATAGGGGAAAAAACAAGAAATAGAGAAAGGGGGAAAGAGAAAAGGAGAGAGAGATAGAGAGAAAGAGAGAGGGAGGGAGAGAGAGAAGGGGGAGAGGGAGAGATAGAGAGGGGGAGAGAGGGAGAAAAAACGAGAGAAAGAGCAAGAGAGAGAAAGAGAGAGGGGAGAGGGAGAGAGAGAGAGATAAGATGGGGTAGAAAAGAGAGAGAGATACATTTTGTTTTAATAGAGAGAGGTAAACCGATAAACATTGATTGAATTCACAAGTGAGAAAGATAGAAAAAGGAACAAATTAACGCGAGGAGAGAAAAAGAAAAAGATAAAATGGAAGAAAGACAAATTAGGAAGAGAAATTAAAACGAGAACAACACAAAGCAGAAAGGAAACATTTAGATAATGTAAGATGCTACAAATTGTGTACACAAAAAAAAAGAGAACACATTTGAGATTACTCACTCATTGGTTGCTGTGATTTCTTCTTCCACCCTGGACGTCTGCAGCATACCGTCTTTTTTCTACGAAAAGAAGCAAAACAAATTTATGAAATTAAGTTTCTAACTAACAGATCAATACAATCTCAAAGCAATACATGCTGTACACCAGTCAATTCCTTACTTCAACATTTGGACTCAACACCATTTCTAACTTATAAGGGGAAGTCTACTTTGATCTGTGACGTACATGTATCTTGCAAGCTTCACTTTTAATTTGCTCTGTAAAAAAATGTCATCACTTTATAAATGTGATGAATATGTTATCAATCAAAACTACGTATAGGAGACTGCAAACTTGCGATTGATTGGAGGACTCGCAGTTGATTCGGATCAATCACAACTCTCTTAAAGACTTAAAGACTCTCTTAAAAGTCTAAAATACTTCAATGTTTGCTTTTGAATAATTTTATTTTAAGGCTACAAATGGCTCTCCATAACTTTTAAGTCCGACTTAGAGTGAAGTTTGACTTAGGATCTTTGTGAAACACCCCCCTGGTTTACAGTAAATCATCATACCTGTACAACGACCACCTTGACGATGACAAACTCTGGGATCATGATGGGGGCTTTGAAGTGGAAAGCGAGGGCGACGAGGAGATGGAGGATGGCGACCAGGTTACGGGAGTGGATAGCTACAGGATGAAGCAACAATCAAAGAATAAAAATAATACGTGATTGGTTGATTGTTTTGCTTGATTGCTTTTAAAGCATGCGTATGGTTGTAAGTAAACAACTAGGGGACTAGGCTTTAAGTCCTCTCCAAAGGACAAGGAGATGGAGGATGGCGACCAGGTTACGGAAGTGGATAGCTGCAGGATGAAGCAACAATCAAAGAATGAAAACAGTACATCACTCAATTCTTTCAGATCAAATCTTGATATGTACTGGTCACTGAAGAAGGACAAGATTAATCCTAATGAGTTATTCAACTGTCCATGTTCATCCATTACTGCACAGTGACAAATTCAAGAATAACCCACTAGCCGACACCGAGGGGCAAATAAGTTTTGTATAACTTTATGCCTACTTCTAAGGTATGAGTACATGATTGATGTTTGTTTTACCAGATTGCTAATAAAGCACAAGTATGCTTGTACGTGTAAGTAAGCAACAAGGGGACCAAGGGCTTTAAGTCCTTCCCGAGGGACTTTGAGATGGAGGATGGCCACCAGGTTACGGGAGTGGATAGCTGCAGGATGAAGCAATCAAAGAATAAGAAACAGTACGTGATTGATTGAGGTTTCTTTTATGCTTTTAAGTAAGCAACCAGGGGACCGACGGCTTTAAGTCCTCTCTGATGGACTTGGTACAGAGGATTAATGCCTTACCATAGGACACGAGCGCATTGACTTAGTTTGAACCCTGGACCTCCCAGTTACGAGACCACTGCCCTACCACTGAGCCACTGCGCCTGCTCAGTATTTAGCATCTACTTTGTTTTATTCTTAGTTTGATTGCGCTGAAAAGTACTGTTTACCTTGGGCCACAGTTCTCAGCCAAGCGAGAAACCTTAACACACCTTTGCATCGCTAGAAGCTGCATATATTTAGCTCACCGACCCTATTCTGGGTTGACAAGAAGACTTCACATGAACACTCATATTATGCTACCTAGCCTTTAACAACCCTTTAATATTAAATAGCTGGCAGTACACCTAGTTTCCCATTGCTTCGGGCAGCTAAGCAGAGCTCGGCATTCTCATGTGTTTTGTTTCTTTAGTTTCCGTTTACATTGTTCGATTCTTGTTTTCTGTTTGTTCTTGCAGTTTATTCTGATGAGTGTAAGTGCTTCTGAATGTCTCTATTGACTGCAATTTTTCAGTTTAGTTGAGGTAGCTTAGCAAATTGTGGTGGCACAAAAAAAATAATCAAGTTTGACAGAGATGAGCGCTATACAAGAACCCACTATTATTATTGTTTCAACTTTACCAGTACTTCAATTTCTCTTGAAACGGGGTTCCTTTACTCACCGTCCACACTCCATTTGTCCTTGTTCCATCTGGGTAGATTAAGGAGTTTGTTGACGTAATCCAAGATGGCTTTGATCTTCTGTTTCTGGAAGATCTCTGCCTGCATCACCTCACGCACTTCAAACTTGATCCCAGCCAATTTTTCTACAGAATAGAAAAAGGAAGAAATCATCAATTTTAATACTAACACTGATAATACATACATGTAGAACAATCATTTTGTTGAAACACCTTAAAGAGAAGGTTGAGTTCTGGGGAGAGGTGAACTATAATTTATATAATAAAGCGTTATCATTCTTATTATGCAAGTATGGAAGAACATCAGAGAAAACATATTCCCTTCAAAGCATGGCTCTTCAAATGCCTTCATATTCTAAATATGACAAGAGCATAAAAATGAGGCCCAATTTTTACGCCACGTTTGTGTAGTCCCATATACATCTTTTTGTGTACAGTGCTTGCTATTTTACCAAGACTGGGCCAAATTTTGTATCATTTTGATGATTCCAGAACCTTGCAGTACACACCAATACTTATATGCTACATGATCAACACTGATTCTTTCACAATGCAATCGCATGACCAGAACCCAACTTTGTCTTTAAACATATCAACATCGGATTCTTTTGTTAGCATTATATAGACTCCAATGGGCAATGTTCTAGTTATTCTCCTTAAGAAATGTAGATAACCAAGACCTCTTAGTGGAGCTCACATCCCTTTTCAGGGTTCTTATTCATTTGATAGAATTGCATGATGTAACCCAACATCTGCTTATATAATTGAAGCATCCTGCACATACAGAGTGTAATGGCAAGGTTGGAATCACACCCTTATAATGCATTGGGACACGTCAAAAAAGCTACTACATTGCATATTTCCTTTTGTTGAAACACCCTGTACATACCAACAAGGTTGCCATTGATCTATAAAGATCATTCTCCTCTTCTCAACTCACTAAATTACTAAAATTATAGATATGATGTCATATTACAAGGAGGTGCAATCAATTCTAAAAAAGGATGTTGTAAATATGTTTGCTTTTGTTGAAGCACTGTGTACATACCAACAAGGTTGCCCAGGATTTGTCCATCGTAGAGATCTTCTTCCAGGTCGCGTACGATTATCCTCTGGTCCTTCAGCTCTTCATTGATCCATCTGATGAGAACCTGACAAGATGGAAGAGAGACGGAGAGAGAGAGAGAGAGAGAGAGAGAGAGAGAGAGGGTGAGAGGTAGAAAGGAAATGGCACAAAGAAAGAGATTTACATAAAAAGAGACAGGAAGAAAGAAAGAGAAAGAGAAGATGAGAGAAAAAGAGAAGATGAGAGAAAAAGAGAAGAAAGGAAGAGAAAGAGAAGATGAGAGAGAGAGAATGAGGGAGAGAGAAAGAGTGAGAGGGGATGAGAGGTAGAAAGTATATAAGAAGGAAATGGCACATATAAAGAGATTTACATGAAAAGAGACATGAAAAAAGAAAGAGAAAGAGAAGTAAGGAAGAGAAAGAGAAGATGAGATAGATAGAGAAAGAGAGAAATAGGAGAGAAAGGGGGAGAGAAAGAGCCAGACAGTGACATAAGAGAGAATGTCAAGCATTCATGATAATCTGGACTTATTATCCATATTTTGGTATACCCCGGTAGGCATATTTCCTGCTTCTTTTGGTACCATATCCATAGAGTTACATGTACAGTACATGCAAAAATTATGTCATGAGCAGAATTGAATTCAAGGTCCTGCTGCTCACATTTAAGGCAATTCATGGTCAGAACCCAGGATATGTGTCATCGAGCGGCGTCATCTACGCCCTGGACTTCGCTGATCTGGCCTTACTCTCCAGATGCCCATTACTCATCTCAAGGGATATGGAGACCGGGCATTTTCCTCTATTGCTCTTTGCCTGTGGAATTCCCTCCCATCATTTATTCGTGAAATTGACAACGTGGATCACTTCAGAGCTTCACTCAAAACTCACATCTTCCTTCAGACATTTAAATGCTAACTTTATTGGAGGAGCTCGCGCCTTTGAATGTTTTTTTTAAACAGATATATGGCACCATACAAATGCTGTGAATCATCATCATTATCATCATCATCACATTAAAATTCTTGAATTGGCAACATGCTTAACTGTTCAAATTAATGCTGTTTTTTCAATAAAAAAGGACAATCTTTTAAACTTTTGAACACTTTCTGTCCATTAATATTAAAAATTGGCATTACATAAAGGAAAAATACCACTGTCTCAAGAGTTTAAATTTGAAGGATTAGAAAAATCTGATTGATTTAGCCTCAAAAATTGATCTGTCATCTATGGGTGAAACTTACCTCGCTGAGTTCTTTGACTTTCGGTGAATCCTTTGAGTCGGGTTCTATCATAGACCTTTCTTCTCCCTCCTCTGTCAAAAACAAAATATGATAAAATCATCAAACCATACAGCCAACAGCATTGCAATGCATTTACCCATTCTACACTATGTCCTAAAGGTAAAGGAAAAATCTTCAATGCAAAATTACGAGTTAAAGGCTTGCTTAAAGGGGAAGCGCACCCTGATATTAAGTTGGTTTCAATAAAAGCAAAACAACAAAAGAAACAAATTAGTGAAAGTTTGACCAGTGAAACACAAATTGGCAAAACTTTACAGATCTTGTGAGCTACTCTCCAATTTGCACTGTACAGAGAGTTTCATGAACTTTCATTTTCTTAGTTATTGATGATAAAACAGACTTCTTTCATACAGGGGTTGTATAAAACCACATTGCAATAAACGTATTTAGGGTGAACATTTACATACATTTAGTCTTTCTACACCATGGCATAAAGCTAAAAGCACTTTGTTTCAGGGAAAGGAAAGGTGTTCAATGCAAAATTGGGAGTTAGTATGTAATGAAAATATTTTAAATCAAATAATTCTACAACCAAATGTTAATCTGAAAACTTAAGGTACGATGATTGTTTGTGACTCGAGGCACAACTGCTCTACGAAAAAACAAAGAATGTGTTAAACACACAGTTAACAACTAAATTATTCATACCCCTTGTAAATTTGATGTTTTTTGGTGTTTTACATAACTTAAGAATGAAAGGAGGACTGTTAAAATTAGGACCATTATCAAAAAAAATTAGGTGAAAGCTTTATTATGTCACATTCTCAAAAACATAAATTGGGACAAATCCATTTTTCACATATTTAAGAGATTAAAAAACTTGGTAAGGGCATGAAATTTAGTTGTATTGGAAACGCCCCAATTTCAAAAAAATGAAATGGAAGCTCTTATTACCAATCATGTGAAAGAATATGTTTTGAATATTACATGATGATAACAATTTTGACGGGAAACCGCCTACTAATTGATATATTTGGTAAATTAGTGTATCTCTCGCCTGTTGAGAGATATGAAATGCACATGTCACGCACGTGTGTGTAGTCCCATATACATCTTCTGTGTACAGTGCTTCTAACTTTATGAAGACTTGGCCAAATTTCTTATCATTTTGATGATTCCAGAACCTTGCAGTACATCTTTGCTAGATGATCAACCTTTTCTGATCGATTTCACAACGTTTCTTTCACAATGCAATCGCATGACCATAACTGGTCTTTAGCTTTAACTGTTCATGTATGAAGTATAAGAGATTTCTCATATGGAATATCAAAATATACACATGTACATAGCCACATTGACATACAAGGATGGTCTTAGCAACCCCAAAAGGTGTACCGGATTGTCATTTCCTGCTACCACTGTGACCTCTTGACCTGGATGCTATCAGATCATTCATAAACAGGAAGTGAATGACACTCACATCCTGTTATTATATTTCAAGGAGCTGGTTAATAATATTTTAGAACATTTAGTTTCCTATACATGTACATAACCCAAAGTTTTATGATAATATGAACATTAAAGGGTACTGGTAGTCATACATACATACATACATGTACATATTGGTATTTATTTAGCGCCTTAACATTTTAAAATACAAACATAATAGTTATATACTCTCCAAGTGCATTACACTCTAAAAAATAACAATTACAAAGAAAACAAATGAGTTTTTAAATGTCTCTTAAATGATGCAACTGAGGTGCAAGAACGAATGCTTAAAGGGAGACTATTCCAAATAGTGGGACCAGAAAAAATTATATTTTGTTGACCCTTCTTCGAATTGATGCGGGGGATTTGCAGAAGAAGGGGGTCTGACCTTGAACGTAATGGATATCTTGATTGCTGGATGGGACAAACCAGACTAGAAATATAGGATGGGATAAGGTTATACATGGATTTATAAACAAATAGTGAAACTTTATATATTATTCTCTTATGAACAGTCTCCATATGCAGTAGGTCATAATTCGCAGACACCAGACTTGGTGAAATTATCATTAAATCTGTGGTCCAATCAAGAAAATATTCCCCTAGTCTCTCAGAAAGTCTTCAGGTGAGGGAAATATATGTTTATGACTCTCCCATATGGGGCAATTGGTGGAAAGGGCAGAGCATTACACAAGGCCTATTGCTAATAAAACTGAAGACTAATCCTGGTGATTGAAAACACCTTATTGGGTAAACAGTGTCGAATTCCCCATAAGAGCTCGCTACTGTGTGTCTTTTATTGATCAAGAGTATAATATTTCTTGGTATTTCATATGGCTTGTCCTGCCTAACAACAAGGAATGTATGCAATTAACTTTCTGACTATTTACAATTATTCTAACAACTGAATTAAATAATTTGTATTGAATTAAAATTTCATTACAAAAAATGGCCTATTCCAACCAGACGGTGGAAGATAGATAGAGGTTCACTTAGATGAAAGTAAAGAAATGAAAAGAGAGATCTTAAAATCTTCTTTTGAAGTCGCGTTTACTTACCCATGATAAATGTGTCTGGGTTAATATCAACAGGGCTGCCTGGTGATTCCAGCGCTGCTCTTCCAATATCATTAATGTCATCTAGAGAGAGGGGGAGACAAATGGGGGAAAGAGGTTTAGTGGTGAATCTTTATTAGCCACAACAGAATTACATGAATTTGAATAATGCCTCCACTGATTAGTAAGCCATTGTTGAAAAGAAAAAGAAGAAACTTCAATTCACAGGAGTGATAGTGAGCACTAAAAAAAAAATAGGTCTTTTGTTTTCCCCTCAACCACGCCCCCTTGAGTAAAAAAAAAAAAAAGAGGATTCGCGGGGAAAAAATGGCATCTAACAACATTCATCCCTTTCGAGTAAGAAAATTGGGGGAAAAATCAGGCAAAATAGGGAAGAATAGAGAAAATAAGAGGGAAATCGGGAAAAAATCGGGAAAAATAAAAAAAATTGGGAAACCGATTTAAATCGGGTTTTTATCAGGCCTGAATTCAAGACGAAGAAGAAGACCAAGACCAAATATAGGAGGGGAAAGGAGAAGGGAAGAGAGGATGAGAGAGGATGAGTGAAGACAAGGTGAAGGGATGGGAGAGGGTGGAGAGGGAACAAGAAGAAAAAGATGAGAAAGGAGAAAAGGAATGAAGGACATGGAATAGAAGAAAATACAGCAGAGGACAGAACTTCAGAAGTAAAGAAAATTAGAAGGGGAAGAAGAAAAACTTAAATAAAGAGAAGAGAAGATAAGAAGAAAAAGATGGGGGAGGAGGAGGGGAGGGGATGAGGAGGATAGGAACGGGAGGAGGAGGTGGGGGAGGAGGGAAATGAATATAAATTGATTGTAACATTTTAAACTATCACAGTCCACATCCTACACAAAACTCAGTGCATGGGACCAAAATCACAAATTACACAGACACAGGCATATCGTTTTACAGCAACAATCAAATGCAATATCGAGTACTTCATATAAGCAATGAATTTCTATTCAACCGATTTCATAAACATTGCCTTTGATTTTGAAATAATTATTTGTCATCTCAACAAGCCCACACCCCAATACGGAAATTTGGCATTAAAATGATGAGACATTCGTAACGAATGCGAAGAATGCGAAAATCGAAACCGATAATTGCCTTCCAAGTAATTCATAAAATAGCGATCAAACACACTTTTTCGACACATCATCAGTACGTTACCTTCTTTTGCTTTCTTTTTTCTTCCTAATGTGGTGACTTTGTCGAGAAAAGACTCCTCTTTCTTGTCTTTTTTCAGCGTTGTGTTCGTCTTTGACGGAGAAGCCATCTCGAATTCGTTCGTGATTGATTATTTTGCGAGCACAAATTTGAAGTTAGCAGTCCAATTCAGGACACGGACCCGACTGAAATTATCGACTGACAAAAATGGGCGTGGCCGATATTCTGTTTGTTTACATAAGTTCACCCTATTCACGTAGATTCATTCGAGATTTTAAAAAAAAAAACATATATACACCTCCTTTTCTACTTCATCTTCAATTCCTTTGTCCGTGTTCTGTTTTATTTTACATTGTAAGACTGAATTCTTTCTCTCTCCGTATTTCTTCAAGACTGGTGAAAGTTTGAACGAACTTTGGAAAAACAATAAGAAAATTATGAATTATTGAAAGTTGTAATCATTATTCAAATGGGAATTTCAAATTGGCCGAATCGGAAACGTTACTGTGATGTAGTGCCGAAAAAAGTCCAGTTCGTTCTAAAAAAAAAGGAAGAAGCTAAACTGTCATTTTAGCAAATTTTAGATATGCATGCAGACCCTTTTTTTTTGGAGGACCTGTAATAAAGTCATTTATTATATTTTGAGGAGTGCCTTAAGACAAATATTATATTTACACCACGTAATATATGCAATTCACATTCTGACTATTGAAATACAATTATTTGTAACAGGTAAATGAAATATTGTATAACAAGGCATTTAAAGATAATTATGTGCATTAAATTTGACTACATTACCGGAAATCGCCTAATCGTGAATAAACAGACGTCCCTTTTGTAGACCTTCATAATATGTGTTCCCTCAATAATAACCAAACTAAAATAAATGTGACAGTTTCCTGGGATATGTTTTGACCCCTGTCCCTCCTATTGGTAAAATGTGCCTCTGAAACAAGTGCCCATACTGACATAAGATTACCCCTTCTTTAAGGCTAAAGCTATGTTTGTGTTATGTGATCCCTTATTGTAGTCCTATCCCCTTCTCCCCTTCCCCCTTCCCCCTTCTCCCTCTCTCTCTCTCTCTCTCTCTCTCTCTCTCTCTCTCTCTCTCTTTCTCTCTCTCTCTTTCTCCCCTCTCCCCTATCTTTCTCCCTCTCTTTATATACTCTCGTTAAAAAAAGAGTGAACTTTCTCTCTATTTTCACTTTCTTGGGAGTGACGTCCGTGATCACTTGTTTAGGAGTGAAAATCGATTGATTTTAGAGTGCTCTCTAAGAAGAAAAGAGTGAATGTTCAATCTATTTTCACTACATTTTCACTCTCCAGAGGAGTGACGTCCGTGATCACTCGATTTTTTTTTAGAGAGTAAGTATATATATATATTTTTCTCTTTGAAAAAATTACGTTCCGTCGCTAAATATCAAAATGATTTTGGTGATAATATTGCATATTTTATGTTGCAACTTGCGAAAAGGACTTTATTCAATTTGTTTTAAATCGTTTTAGCAAATTGACAGTATTCTGCTTGATTCAACTTTCTTTTTCTTTTTCTTTTCTTATCTTGTGTGCGATATTGTTCAACTTTGGACAGGATCTCGAGGCTCGACCGAGATTTCATATCTCGTGTTTCATTTTCGATTGTGGCTCCCTCTGCAGTCAATGTGTGGCAACCAAAAGTCTATTTCCCATCTGCCTGGAGTCCCCTGATCTATCATGGTTTCAAAAGCTGACATGTCCCACACTCTCAATGATGGCGGCATCTCAGCATTCCTCCTCCCACTTCGGTTTTTTTTTTAATAATTCAAAATACATTTGAATTCCTATTCTTGACATCCCAAAATTAAAAAACCCTTTCCGTGGGAGGGGGGAAGGGCACCCGTGAAGAACACACATCGCCAGCCCCCGCTCCCTCGGAAACTGCCCCCGCCCCCACTTTAGCCTGAGAACCTGTTGCACCCTTGACTTCATTGTTCGAGTCTATTTTTATGTACATTTTGAATTTTGGAAATGCAGTCTGTGTATGCGAGAGACACTATACATGCATGAAAGAATAGGAATTTTATTTCGCATAAAACCGTTATGTCTAAAACATACGAACATTCATTTTTTTTTTAATTGATAAAACATCACATTAGCAGCATATGATTACAAAGTTCATCCCAAGTCTTTAACTATCAGTTGAAGACTAAGTGTGAGTAACTCCTTCTCTTTATTATCCTTCTTCCTTTTCTCCTCCTTAATTCCTCGCCTCGTCATAACCCCTCTTCCTTTTCTTCTTCTTTGTCTTTCTTTTCTCCATCCATCTTCCCATTTTCTCCTTTTCATAATACATCAATCTATCTCTTTTGTAAATATTTCCCATGTGTAATTGCTTCTAGTCTGTTAAGGTAGTTTAGTTAAAGGCCCACTGCACTACTTGTAGCTACTTGCGCCCTCTATACAACAAACAATGCCTAATCGGTGACCATTGGTCCCCCATGATGCTCTTTTTCTTATGTTAACTGAGAGCTGAGTTGATGAGATACAGTGGCGGATCCAGGGGGGGCCCGGGGGCCCGGGTCCCCCCCCCCCCCTTGAGAAGAAAAATCATGTAAAATCACGTGATTTTTACCTTTTTTGGGGGCTGGGCCCCCCCCCCCCCCTGGCGCTCAAGGGGGGGGGGTGCAAATTGAAATTTTTTTGAGGATCAAAAAAAAAAAAAAAAATGTGCTCACACCCCCCCCCCCCCCCCCCCCCCCCCCCCCCCCCCCCCCCCCCCCCCCACTGAGCGAATTTTTGGCCGGCGCGTTTTTCAAATTTTCGGGAGCAAAAAAAAAAAAAAAAATTTATAGAATTTCTTTACTAGGTAATAACATGTTGAACGTTATTATTGCGCTTCAAATTATGTTTGTTATATTGATAATCTGCTGTTCCAGTTACTTTATTTGAAATTCTATGTACAAATGTTTGTGAAAGAAGAAATAAAATGAACTATGAACTATGAACTATGAATTTTTTTTTTTTTTTTTTTTTTTTTTTCTTCTTCTTCTTCTTCTTCTTCTTCTTCTTCTTTTTCATCATTTTCTTCTTCATCATCATTTTCTTCTTCTTCTTCTTCTTCTTCTTCTTCTTCTTCTTCTTCTTCTTCTTCTTTTTCATCATTTTCGTCTTCATCATCATTTTCTTCTCCTTCTTCTTCTTCTTCTTCTTCTTCTTCTTCTTCTTCTTCTTCTTTTTCCTCTTCGTCACTTTAAGCTTATGCTTCAGACGACTCTGTTTCTGTATAATGTCCATTATCATACATTTAAAGTTGGAAGATTGTAAATGTAATGATGTATATGGAATAAATATACATCAAATCAATTCTTCTTCTTCTTCTTCTTCTTCTTCTTCTTCTTCTTCTTCTTCTTCTTCTCCCCCCCCCCCCAATTCTTCTTCTCCTTCTTTTCCCCCAATTCTTCTTCTCCTTCGCTCTTCCTTATCTTCTTCCTTATTGTTCTCCTTCGATGGTGATATGCCCCTCAGAGCTACCCCATTATTGCCTCAAAGGATCTTGCGTTATAGCGCGGTACATGATTGGTTAAACATTTCTTCTTCATAATCTTCTTTTCCTTCTCCTTTATAATTATTCTTCTCCTTCTCCTCTTCCTCCTTCTTCTTCTCTTTCGATGGTGATGTACCTCTCAAAGTCACCCAATTGCTCTTGTGTCATAGCGCGTTAAAGGGAAAGTCATGCACCCTAACAATAGTATCAATAAAAGCATAACAAACGAGAGAAACAAATTAGTGAAAGTTTGAGTAAAATAGGAATGTTGTGAATTTTTGAAGTTGGCATCAGTGAAAAACGCATTGGAAACACTGTGACATATTTTGCAATTCATAAACTTTCGTTTTATTAGTTATTGATGACGGAATAGATTTGTTTCATAAAAACGTATTCGTAATAATTATATTTAGGGTGAATATATGATTGAAGGGCGAAATATAAATGTTGCTTTTTTTAGTACAGGGAAAATGGGAGGGGACCTCGGAAGATACCTCACAGAGTTGCCAATTTGTGTGTAAAAACAAATCATATTTTTCTTGTTTTGTAATTCTTTTTTTCTCAAACTTTCACCGACCTGTTTTTCTGATTTTGCTGCTTCTATTAAAACCAACTAAATATCAGGATGGACTTTCCCTAAGGTTGAACATTTGAACTTATTTTTAATCACCTCAACAAGAAATGTGCTTTATTAGGTTTGTCTTCATTGGCATGACTAGGTTTGCTAGTTACTAAAGGATTTTAACTTGTCATTTTCTCACTTCAGATTATTTTACTCACCCTTCAAAAAGCTAAATTTTGACTTTTTTTTTTGATAGCTCCTTTAAATTTTACATCCGGGTTTAGGCCTATTGGTTTTAATTTGACCTCAAGTTATTTACTTTTTTCTAAAACCATACTTCGGAGGGAATTGTTTAATGATTCATTTTTCTATTTTTTAATTTTTTTTTCTTGTTTACTTTTTCTTTTCTCTTCCTTTCATTTTTTTTCTGTTCCGTTCTTTTTCCATTCTTTTCTTTTCTTTCCTTTTTTATTTATTTTTCTCATTTTGTTTTCGTTCATTTTTTCCCTCCCCCCCCCCTTTTTTCCTTCTTTTCCTTTTCTTTGTTTTTCTTTTCTTTTCTCTTTGTCTTCTTCTTCTTCTTTCCTTTCTTTTCATTTCTTATCTTTTTTCCCTCTAAAGACCGACCGAGTCATTCATAATCTACTCGTTAGCTGATCATGCGCTTCTGCGTCTGAAACTTTCAACTCAAGGGCCCTCGAAAGACAACCTTCGGTGTTCTGCGGTACCCTGGAGAAACTTATTATCAGCGGCATAAACAGGAGATGGGTTTGAAAGAGGGGAGGGGGATAGGGAATAGGGGTGTTGAAATCAAGAGGTGGGGTAGGAGACATACGATGGGCCTTATGCAAAATTTGATGTTATTATTAATCGACTTCTCCGCAGGATCTCTGACAAACTAGCACCCCCTCTCCCCTACCCCCTTCTTCTGTTTCCATTTCGCTATCGGAACAATATCAGTTCCATCAGTGTCTCATTGATTAGTTCCAGACTCAGACTATACGCTCCCTATAGCTTCTCGCCTACAATCCAACTCTATCTGACAGCCCCATTTCGCAAAAGCTCGATGATATATTTTCCGACTCGGTGCACGGTTGGGAAAGAGATAGAGCGTCCTCTTGTGTTTGGGGACCGTAAAATGACGTCAGTCGAGGGAATACCTTCACTAAATAAGGGCATGGAATGAGAGGCTGGCAGGTGACCGGTAGGTCTGCACTGCAAGCAGTCGACCATGTGAATACATGGCCACCCAAATATGGCCCATGGCGCTCATGTGTAAGCTCTTCCCTCAACCACCACCATTCCCCCTCCAAAATCTCCCCAAACCCCACCAGAAAGCTAGTACAAATCCTACTTTAAATACACAAAAAAAAAAAAAAAAAAAAACAAGCGGGAAAATGGCGCCCCCGCCTCCCGGGGAGCAACGTTATAATGCAATATGTTCTTTAATAAGCCCCTAAGGCCCCTTTTCAGTTTTATGAGATAACAAAAGGTTCAACGATTTTTTTTTTCCTGAAATTAAAATCTCACTCGAGTTTTGCTGAACTGATTGACGAAATGTTTTCAAAAAGCAATTTGGTGTGAATAATGTATGCTAAGAGGAATTTGTTTTTCTTTGTTTTATATCACTAAAGTTTGACACAAATGTTTTATTATTATTAACGATTTATGAGAACTCTCAATAATTTAAAATTGATACAAAATGACAAGTTATTTTGCCAACTTTCCCGTCTCCACTGAAGATTAAAATGCGAGCACGCATTTTATGCCATCCCGACTGATTAAAGATCAAGTTGCGTTTATTTTATGGTGTGTGACACTTCGTTGCAACTCTTATTTCTACAAGAGGCCCAGCTGGATAGGAAAAGGAAGAGAGTTGAGTTTCAGGGACTTGGTGCCTTGGGGATGCTCGGAGCATCTAGTACCCAAGCTCAGGTGGACTCACTTCACTTTGATTGGCTGCGCTTCTCAGAGGAGGGAGGGAAGTTGGAAGGCTGAACCATCCAAAATAGAAAATTACGTCACACTTTCCCATGACAACCTCAGCCCCCTTGGATCGAAAGGGAGTCCCTCTGTATTGGTGCATCTTTCTTCATCATCATCGCCTATCTCTCTCCGTCCCTGTCTCTCTGGATTGCCGTACGTCTGCGCCCGATCCGAAATACCCTTCGAGCTCGAGTTCGCGAAATGCATGCTGGGAACGGGTGAGGTAGCGGCTAGCAAAGATGGCGGACGGTGAGGTTAGCTCCGCCGGTGGGAAGCCGAAATCGGCGCTTATGCGCCGCCATGAACAACTTCAACGCTGGAAAGATTCGGAATTTGATAGAGAAGCGGCTGAAAGAAATGCAAAGAAAGCTAAAGTGAAATTTGCGGCAGGATGTGTGTTTCTAGCGGCCTGTGCAAGCGAGGATTTGGATGAGATCCAATCTCTTATAAAGAGAGGAGCGGACATAAATTATGCTAATATCGATGGCTTGACTGCCCTGCATCAGGTATGTTGTGCGTGTAGTTCATAGTTGTTTGCCCTTTAATTTGGCCCACACGTCACTGGAGACTGCTAGGGATCGTATGACAGATTTGTAGTCTTCTTACGATGTGTGTCCTAGGCTGAATGTACCGTGACAATCTGATATTTGAGAAGGATCCACTGCTAACCAGCTCAATGTTTTCAACTGTTGCCTGCTACTGTACTGCTACAGTCAGTCAGTGTGAACACCCTTGTTGTCAATGTGTTGACTGCCAGTACCACTGGTCTCATGCATACTGACCCCATTCACACTGTCACTGGTTTCTTAATGTACACCCACCCCCTTCAGTATTTAAAAAGAAAATCATGTCTTTTATGTGTTTGCCTTCAAAATTCTGTAGATTATGTATTTGTCCTTTGGCTTTGCTTTACTTCAGTTCAGCTTATAGACCTATGTGACTTTTCAAAAATATATTTTCTTTCTTTTTGAAACAAATTATTATTGTGACATTGATTGATCATTGACGATCCTGTATTCTTCATTGAATATTTTAATCACTCTTTTCTAATTGTTACTTTTCAAAGTACTCTAGACTATCTTTGGATTATCTAATACCTGTTTAATCTCCCAGAAAAAGAAAAATATTGGAATCCTATTTTTTTTTTGCAGGAGGGGGGGGGGGGGGGGGGGGGCTTTATTGAATTTCACCTGTAGGCTGTACAGTATTCTATGCATTACCTTTTGTAAATATTGTCATTGATACTGTACACTTTGCATATAACTTGTTAGCTCCTTGACCTTAGGCCAAAGGCTGAAAGGTTAACAGTTTTCCGAAGGCAAGATTTGCATGATTTAATATCTTTCTAATTTCAGATCTCTACACTGACACCTTATACCAGTGGGAGGGGGAGGGGGGGGGGGGGGGGGATGGTCGTCAGTTTAGGACTACAGTAAAATATTACATGTATGTGTACCAGGTCCCCTATTTAATTTGAATATTGGGGTCTGTGACTCTTTAGGTAAAACAGGGCTTGATACTAAAAATGGGTGCCCAATATCTACACTAAGTTCATACCCCACCCCCTTTCCCTTTCAATTTTAACAAAAGGCTCATGCTTACATACATGTACTTTGAAAGGTTGGATGTGCACCTCTTCCAAAAAGTTATATGGACCTCTGGCCCTGAGTATCTAGGAATTTGCTAGTTTCCAGTTTAAATTAAGTTCAGTATGAATAATACCAGACTTTCCAGTCAAATGCTATGTTGGCAAAAAGTAGTGGGAGTGTGGGACAGTTGGAGAATTTACCATGACACAGTTATCGGCAAGGGTTTGAAAGGTGTTTAGTCATGTGATAGCGTCAGGTTTGAATTTTGATTGTACAGGTTTGGAAATCAGCAACAGGTCCGCATTCATCCTCAACCAAAATTATTCATAAAAATATTAGTCATAAAATGTGTTTTAAGGTTTTCATAATATGGACCAGATTGCACCAGAGTGCAGGTTTTTAATCCTAGATCCTGGGGGTGTTTCATAAAGCTGTTCTTAAAGTTACGCATGACTTAACAAAGACTTGTAAGTGCCAGGTAGGATGCCCAAAGTTTTTTCTGAAATTTCCAATAATCTCAATTAAATTATGCCAACAAATATAGGCCTACTTTGCATTAAAAATGTTTGTTATAATAAGAATCTACATCTGCAGAGTTCAACTTTAGTTGATACAGTTAATAATGATTGAGCATCCCATTTGGCTTTTCATATATTCGTTTGTAAAGTCATGCGTAACTTTACGAACAGCTTTATGAAACACCCCCAGGCCTCAAGGGACTTCTTGCTTATACGTTGCTTATTGCGTATCAATTCATAGTCCTTCCATGTTACAATTTTACATTCAGTGTTAATTTGTGGACCACCCTGATAATAATTGGAGATGTTCTAGGGACTTCTGATAAAACATGAAGACTTCTCCATGAAGAATTCCCTAGAAAGAAGCTGCCTGTCCAAACCTCTAAGTGAGCATTCTAAAGAGCCCGACATTCTTAGGGTATTTAAATGGGTGCACTGGTCGAGATCTATTAGGATAAGGTTACGGGGTCATATTGTAGCTCCTAATGAGTTCATTGACCTTTGAACTTCAATGTACCATCATGTACATGATATATTAAATCTGATACAAGCTCGCTCTCTCTCTCTCTCTCTCTCTCTCTCTCCCTCTCTCTCTCTCTCTCACTGTCAGTTATGGGTCATTCCATCGGGTTGGGTCATAAATTGTGACATGAAGGTTCAAAATTCAGAGTTGTTGAATAATTTGTTTATTGTTATATCCTGTTTTTAACACCCATTCTTCAATAGATTCCACTGGAATTGTGTGTATTCCTTCGCACACTTTCATTTAAAATAAAAAAACAGACACACCAAAAAACCAACGTTACAAGGACATCTTTTTTTACTTGCTCATTTATTTTCTAATCTGAAACTTTGTCACAGTCTGTACTCCACTTTTGTGTGTGTGGAAAACATTTAGATGATGGGAGCAATAGTTTAAAATACTTAAAACTTGAACACAGCAACATTATATCAATTTATAAACATGAAACAAATGAGGAACTAGCAATCTTCAGATCATGTTTTTTTCTAAAGGGTAATCTTTTCTCTTGCATAGAAAATCTTGACTACATTCCATGAAATGTGCCAATTAATTGATGCATGAAACATATTTAATGAGATGATAACACAATTGAAAGGAAACCTGCAAGATTTATGGTCTATATTCACCTCAACACCTCCAGTTACCAATGTTACACGGACATCATGTCCGAGTAACATCAGTATGATATTAGAGTAACTATCCTCTTATACTCATTGAAAAATGACAGACTACATCAAATGTCATCTGAAATATATTTTATCCCTTGATCAGTAAATTAAAAAACAGTATTCATACAAGAAGTATATTGATAGATATCAATGATCAACTTTATATCTTCTTCAAAATAGTGATTAGATTGGAAAGATCTTTGTTTTCCAGGAAGGTTTCGATGACTGGTCATTTTGCCTGCTCTCTTGATCTCTCTCTGCCGGAGCTGAATCCTCAAGGGAGGTAGAGGTGCCATGAATGAAATGGATGCAGCAATCTAATAAATATGCATGAAAAGAAATAAATAAAAACCAATGAGTAAAGAATATTAAATGAGATAAAAATAAAACAAAACTGTAAACTGTTTCTGTGATTTTTCATTTCAAACGTGTGTTGTGTTTGCAATTATCGAGTACTTCTATCTAGATCTGTTGTAAAATCAAATTGTAAGAATTAAGGATGGAACAACTAGACAGAGGATTGCAAGATGGATAGGGAGTTCCTCACTTTTGGCTCGTTGCATGCCCAAATAGAAGTAGGTATTATTATTGGTTGTTCATTTTGATTTTTCTTTTAAGTTTAATATTTGTGTTGAATTATAAATTTTTGTTAAAAAATTATATTTGTTATTTATCATTATTTGGAGGGGGAGGGAAGGTTGAAGCCCTTATCCCTCACTTCAACCTTTGGATGAGGGGGAAGGGGAGCCAGATCAACGATTATTTAATTTATAAAAAAAATATTTAAAAAAAAAAAAAATTATATTAAAAAAAAAAAAAGGCTCATTACATTATTATGTATCCAATTTTAATTGAATCGGGGGGGGGGGGGGTGCCCTCCCCTTTAACCCATTCTTCTCTATCTCAACCCCAACCCTCAACCCCCTTTTTTGCCCAAAAAGTTGTGTATTTCGGGTCTCAGAATGAACTTCCTAACTTGAAGGAAGCAATGTTCAATAACTTGTGTTTTTCGTTAGGCTTAGCCATCATTGTTCAATGACAATTAATGGCACCATATAAATAATATTAATTAATTTAACACTTGTCAGAAAAAATCTGAGGTGTAGAAACATCATGAATATCATTATTTACGGGATTCTTATAACAAAATTCAATTTCTGTTTAAGAAACTAGCTTTTTAAGGGTAAAAGTTTGGCATCGATTTTGCACGTTTCGTTATAACACATATATCAGTATGTGGGACAACAGTAAAATATTCACTCACATGTGATGGTTTGAAAACCGGTTTAAGTTGAAAATAACACAATTTAAAACGGAATTACATTTCTAAAACATGGAATTTCATTGTCCATGATAATAATTCGGGCCATAAAAATAACTTAAAAAACATATTACGTACCAATTTGGGCGCTGACGGGCGAAAATGGCTGCACCACGTTACAAAGACATCTTCACGTTTGTGGTTGCACTGTAGGGGTAAGTCGTCGCAGTCCGGCAAAAAACATGTTCTGCGCATTCGTGAATAACTAGCAGGTCATTTTAACACCGAAAACTGAAGCTAGCGGGCTGGTTTATATCTCAAACACCATAATTTCACACCTACGTTACCAAATTACGAAGGACATCGCGCCCGATTTTCGCGGTAAATTAATTGTTTTCTTATATTTACCGACCGATTTAATCATCATTCTTTCTACATATGTTCATGAGGGGTTGTACCTTCCTAATAAGATGAAACTTTCTGAGAAAATATCCTGCTAAATTTGTGTAAAATGCTAGAATTACCGCCGTTACGAAAAAAGGGCCTAGGACATCGTTGGTAACGTAGGTATTGTGTTTTTTCAATATGGAATAACTTGCCGATTTTTTGCACACTTCACTTGAGCTTCTCAGACATATTAGAGGTACTAAAGGTGACATGTTTTAAGTAGGAAACATTGCATTATGATGAACCTTTTTCCAGAAATAAGTTCATGAAAATGACATGTTTTCATGTCACAACTTTCACCCTCAAAATCGCTGAGACATCGGTAGTAAAACTCTCACCAAAAAAAAAATATGATGAAGAAGTTTCTGTTTTCATGTTTATTTATTCTGTACTACATTACTCTTCAATATAACATACTTTTATTTTTCTAAAAATACATTTAAATTAGAGTAAATAGCTTCTAAACATTCAAACACGTGAAAATGCTGAAAAGACCCAAC